TATATATATATATATTGTTAGAGTTAAATCAGATAATCTTATTGATGTAAAGAGAGATAGAAATACCAATTACAGAATGTACTAGCAAGAAAATAAATAAATAAAAAAAATAAAAAGAAAAAAAGAAAGTAAATAAAAAAAAATCAAAGAAATTAATACATAATTCTGCATATTAATATTCTAATATTCCAATACTCCCCCTCAACTTGAAACATAGATATCACTGATGTTCAACTTGGATTTAAAATCACGAATAGTGGCTGAGGAAAGTTCTTTGTGAGGAAATCTACCAGCTGACCAATAAATGACACAAACGGAACACAAATTTCCCCGAACTCGAGTTTTTCCTTAATGAAGTGGCAATCAATCTCAACATGTTTGGTGCGATCATGCTGGACCGGGTTGTCTGTCATGATCATAACCAAAGAGCTTCACAAATTCCCAGGGACATGGACCGAACTTCAGTTTTCGCACTGCTCCGAACAATTATAGACTGCTTTATTTTTCATGTGATTAGGTTTCTACACACAAATGAGCAGTACCCCGAGATAAATAGCCAATCATGGACTGACCCGGCCTAATCCGCATGTATAAACTATAATAGAACGAGAGGTGTGACGAGAAATAAACAAACCTGAGTCCGGTGTGTCTTTTAAATAGTAGAAATCCGATAGACAGCTTCGAAGTAATGCTCATAGGGATCAAGTATGAATTAACTGACTATCCCAACTGTGTGGCATATGTCGAGACGTGTATGGGCAAGGTAGATGAGTTTCTCCGCAATACACTATCAGTGAGTCTTATTCACAGGAACTGCACTGGGAACATCAAGAAGCTTTTCATTGGAATCCATCGGGAGAGTGACTGGTTTGCACGGAATAAGATTGTTCTCTGTAAAAGGTCAACCACATAATTAAGCTGAGATAGGCAAATATCCTAAGATTACCGAACAACTTCTATGCCCAAAAAGTACCTGATAGACCCCAAGTCCACTTCAAAGGAAGCAGCAATGATGCCTTTCAGAGACTCCAATGCTGGTAGATCATTACCTGTGAGAACAATATCGTCAAGACAATAAAAATAGTTATCTAGTCGTTGAAGGAATGCCATAAGAAGAGAGTGTAGTCCGATTGAGCCTAAGTGAATATATGGTCAACCACCACATTTGTGAAATTTACTGAGCCATGCCCATGGTGATTTCTTCAATCCATAGAGGGATATTCACAGTCTACATGCTTGCCCCTGGGAGGCAGTGGAGTCAAAGCCAGGAGGAAGAATCATGTATACCTCCTCTGTAAGATCGCCATTCAGGAACAAACTCTTGACATCAAGCTGGAATAGGGGCAATCCAGATTCACTGTAAGGGATAAAAAGACCTGAATGGTGTTTAATTTAGCAACTACAGCAAATGTCTCATCATGGTCAACTCCGTAAGTCTATGAGCACCATTTGACAACCAACCATACCTTGTTACGTTCAAAAGAACCATCAGATTTGAACTTGATGCTAAAAATTCATCGGCATCTCACTGCTTTCTTGCCCCGAGGAAAATCAAAAATGTCTCAAATATGGTTCCTCTTAAGGGCATTCATCTCTTCCATGATGGCAACTTTCCAGGCTGGATATGCTAAGGCAGCCTCAATAGTAAATAAAAATTGATGATTGGTTAGGGCAGTAGCAATGCTCTGTAAGTTGGAAATAATCAGTTTAAAAAAAACATAGTTTGCCACGGGATAGTAGAGCATGTCTGATTGCATACCTTACTAAAGGAACTGACTTCCTCATTTGGAGTAAGAGTAGTGTTGTGGATGTCGTACGGAGGGTATTCAAGGTCCAACAAGGGGTTAGAGAGCTCCGTAGTAGGTACATCAGAACGAGAGCGTCAAGTGTAGACACAAAAAGTGGGAAGTTCTGCTAGTGGAACCAAAGGGACAGAGGGCTCCTTGGTGGTAGGAGAAAAGGGTGGAGCTAAAGGAACAAAGGGTTCCTCGATGGTAGGTGACATGGGGGAACATCCACGGTAGGATAAGGAATAATGTCCAAGAACTCTAGCTCCCCCTCGCTAGAGGCTGAGATAGGAAAGTAGAGAACACTTTAAAAAAAGGAGACATCAATACTCACATAGACCTTATTCGTGGTAGGGTCAAGTCACCAATACCCCTTTTGAGTGACAGAATATCTTAGGAAAATGCATTTTATAGACATGGGATCAAATTTACTCTGAGATGGTGTTGTATTCCGAACAAAGGCTGTGCGATAAAAAATTTTGAGATCTAAAGAGGAGAAGACCTGATTGTTATGAAAGTACGATCTAAAGACGGTTAAAGGGGTATGAAAGTTATGAATTTTTTAGGGAACTCTATTGATGAGCTAAGTGACGATAAGAATGACATCATTCCAAAAACGATTTAAGAAGTTAGAGTGAAACAAAATGAAGCGAGTAACATCAAGGAGATGTCAGTTTTTCCTTTCGACTACCTCATTTTATTGAGGAGTGTTGGTATAAGAGTTATGATGGAGGATGTCCTTACTTACTATGAACTCTCTTAATATAGGTTAAAAAATTCACGATCATTGTCAATTCGAAGAACTTGAATAAGAGTTTTGGATATGGTCAAAATGAAGATATGAAAGTTTTTGGAAATAATAACTTCAGATTTATCTTTCAAAATATAATCTCATGTCATCCGAGTGTGTTTATCAATCAAAGCAAGGAACCATCATTTATTAATGTAGCTAGGAGTGCGAGAGGGTCTACATAAGTCACTGTGAATAAAGAGAAAAGAGCGGAAGGTGTGTAATTGTGGGGTGGATAAGAAACACGATGATGTTTAGCTAACTGACAGGTTTAACATTTAAAATTAAAAAGATTTTTACTAGTAAACATAAACAGTTACAATTGTTTTAGGTACTAAGATTACACAAACGATAGTGTAACAACATAATAGAAAATTCTATGGACTGAGATAAACTGCAACTATTGGGTAGAGTGTCCTCATTCTCCTTCTTTTTCGCCAATCCGCTTAATAGTTCCGATCATCCTATCTGAACAACGATCCTTACAAACACAAACATCAGAGAAAAAATGAGCAATGAAATCAATGTTATATGTCAGTTTACTGACAGATAAAATGTTACACTTCAACAGAGGTACGTATAACACAGATTCCAGAGTTAAATTTATTGTTGAAACAACAAACCCTTTACTAGCAATGGAACTTTGGGACCCATCAGCAATTTTAACAGCATCTTTCCCTGAGCAAAGATAGTATGTCAAGAAGGCTTGAGAGCTTCCAATCATGTGATCCGTGACACTCGAATCAATGATCTATGGGCTAGAAAGGGCAAAAGAAATGAGTCGCATTGGATTGATACCTTGACATACGTGAGAGGTCGACGGGCCGGAAGTGAGCGAACTAGATCCAAGCAAGCTTGATCAAGTGCTCTAATTTGACTTGTAAGGGAATTGGAGGATTTCAGATTGTTTTGGGTAGAGACTGTTTGTACTGTGTTGGATTCAAAAGCTGTAGCGAGATCATTGGCAGCAGAAGATTTGGCCGAACCATTTGGATTCGAGTTTCCCGAGGAGCATCCAACATTTATCATGAGTGTGATTCAATTTGTGATGATAATTACAAGTGGGGTTACCAACACGGGGTTCAGCACTATTCGAGACCAAGGCAGATACTTCAGCAAAGGGAGTGGATGCACCAAGCATGACAAGTTTCCGGCTCTCTTTTCGGCAAATCTCAGTGAAAACAGCACGAATACAAGGAGGAGGATCTTGGCAAGGATACAACGTCAGACTTTTTCAAGATTTTTATTGAGGTCTGCCAGAAATTGAAACATACAGTCCATTTCTATAAGTTTCTGGAAGAGAGATAGGTCGACCAGAGATTCCCAAGAGTAGTCAAAATACATGTCATATTTTATCCATAATACAACTAGATCATTGTAGTACTGGGTCACGGTCCTCGATCCTTGGTTTGCTTACGAATTTTTTTGAATACCTCATAGAGTTGGCTGGAATTTCCTACATCTCAGTAGGTATCACGAACTGCTGTCTATAGGAGACTTGCGGAAGGATCATATATAATTGGCCAATAGAAGTGTCCATGGAGTTGATCAGCCACAAAATGAACATGAAATTCTCTACTTCCTAAGCTCCATAAATTGGATCAGTGTTTGAAGGTTCACGAATCACACTAGTGAGATGACCGAATTTTCCACGCCCTTTGATGAACAAGGATAGAGATTGGGATCATTGGAGAAAGTTATTGTCATTCAGTTTATAGGTTATAATCAAGAAGTACATGTTCTTATCTTACCCTCTGATTTGCAAAGGAACGGATGTTAGAATTGATTCTCCAGTGGAATCAAAAACATCTTCTGATGACGGCTCAGTGTCGGAGGAGTCTTTCATGACTCCAATTGAGCCCAAATGAGATGGTAGCTTGTTGAGACATCATAAGGTTCCAACTGTTGGAGGGAAGATATATGTCCTCGGGAAGTGGTTCCTGTTCGAAGGAGATATTTTGGTTGGCTGGAACCTGAACAAGGAAGATCTGGGCGGGAGATGGGGGATTATCCGAATGGGAACCTTCTTCCAATGGCTCGAAAGATAAGGGATCATACAAACGGGATCATCCGGTTCAGGAAGCGTGACCGGTGGCTCGATTAGGAGACGGGAATTTGGTCTGCATATGAGAATATGGGAATTTGGATCAGGAGATTGAGCTTTCAGCGGCTAGAAGAGGGTCTAACCAGCGGCAAGGAGGGCGTGACAACAGCTAGGTTAGAGTCATGGCTCCGATGCCATGTTAGAATAGAACCAGGGTGATCATATTGAAGTAAAGACGAGTATAAATACCCATTACAGGATCTACTAATAGGAAATAAATAAAATTGAAATAAAGGGACAAAGGAAAGTAAATAAAAGCAAATCAAAGCAATTAACACAAAATTCTGCACATTAATATTGTAATCTTTAACAATGAATAAAAAATTCCACTTTACTACCTTTATAAACTCAAGTGCGTCTTTTTTTAATAGGTTTACATCAAAAAGGTGTTATAAAATTAAATATCAAACTTTAGGTGTTAGTTATGTAAATCTATAAGAATTATGTGGTAAGTATGTAAATTTCCTTAAAAAATTATCATATAATCGTAATGCCATATCACAATTGGTTCAGGTTCATGTTTTGAATCTTCATTTAGCCAGTCATGATAATGGACCAAAAACCTTTACTTCACTATGATGCTAAACTTAGTTTTCAGTAATCATTTTGCAAAAGCCCATAAATTTGATACCTTTATCTTCTTCAGCAGCTCATAGCCAGTCATGCCTGGCATGCAGTAGTCAGTGATTATCAAATTCACCTTCAAATCCTGCAAAATAAAATCATACATATCACATAGGGTGTCATCATATGCCTTTTTCCTCAACTTAATTCGCTTAGACAAGCTATACTAAGAACAAAATGTAATATGTAAGGAAGTTTGAATTGGAATTCACCATCAAATAAAATATTAAATTAATCAACAAAACCTAGCAGGAATCTCATGGCCATTCTAGCTCATTTGTAAAAAGTGAGAAACAAACTAATGGCTATCTTTTTAAATTATAAATAATTAGTATATGTTGATATTAGTTGCAGGTTGGAATATTTATAATGGTAGAGTAAGCGTACTTCGTAATAGAATTACACAAAAACCCACATAAACACTGAGATAGAAGTTCACATAAGATACCAAAATGTTTACATGAAAATCCCAAAACGAGAAACATCCATGGGGCTTGCCTAGTTAAGATAATCCGAGATTATAGATACTCTTCCCTTCACTTTAAGAATATGAGATTACAAAACATAGAGCATTAGTTTGACCTCTTATGACTAAAGAATGTTGGAAAAGTTCTGAAAGGAAACAATGAAGGTCAAGAGACAAATGTCAATGTTGTTGATGGACAGTGATAATTAAGAGATGATAGTTTGGTAATGACAGTTAGAAGATAATCATTATGCGGCAGCAGCCGAGAAACAATAATTAAGCGATGGCAGTAACAATCAGGAGACAACGAAGCGATGGTAACCAAGCTACGTTCGTCAAATGATGACAACTGGACAATGTTAGTCTAGCAATAGCAGTTATTGGTAGTAATGATATGCACCAATCATCAAATAGAAATATGCGGTTTTTAAAATCTTTAAACTCACTCTCATGTCAAGCTCTTTTCATGTGAAGATTGAGAATATTTTTATAATTTTTATAAACTGCATTTTAACATTTCGTTTACCAAAATCTCCAACAATTCATTGGACGTCTCGTGTTGACTCCTTCAATAACAAAGTGTTTATTAGACATTTGAATATCATAATGACATCAAAATTGAGTAATCTTAAACTTCTTGACCTCCATCAATATGCTTGTTTTGAGTATAGACGCACAAAATTAGAATATTATTTGATCCATCAAATAGTCATGAAATATTCAACTGAACTTTGAGTACTTGATTTGTGCTCATTTGGATTCAGTTCCAAGCACTTTTGGTAGCATTGGACTAGTCTCATCAAAACATTTGTTTTGATAATAAATTTGTTAAAATCAACATTTTGATGACAATAAATCTAATTCTGCAAGTTTTCAATCTAAGTATTGTGTCAAATGTCATGTCTGATTGGATGATTTTTTTAGTGTAGCAATTTCTATTTATGGAATTTGATTTAATTACTCTTAAAAATAGATCAGTGCGAGATAATACTATAATTTAGTTGGATGCTTTTAAAATATAGACATTTTAGAAATATAAAAAAACAATATTAAATGCATTATGTTAAATTCAGTATTCAATTTAATGCCAATCAAATGCAATGAAAATTTTTATTTATATGTTGTGATTCATTTCAAATAACCTCCTCCCTCTCTCCCTCTTTTATTTGTAACATTTCAAGAGCAAATGCAGGATCAATAGTGGGAGAGGTGGCGCGAGCAAGCTTTGGAAACAATGATCTGTTAGTTGTCATGTTTCAAGAACTCGGTACGGTTGAAGGCGAGGGAGCAATTGCGAGCAAGTGATGTGGAGGTCAATGAAAATGATAGCATCAATAGAAAGTAGAGCGGCAGCCAAGGGATGCAATGTTAAGGGAACGTGCCAATGCGGGCAAGGATGACAGTGAGGGAGGTAAAGGGCTAAGTGGGAGTTGACTATGATGGTGAGGGCAAAATGGTAAAGGGGACTATGGGTGAGGGAGGCGGTAGAAAGGGACAAGGCTAAAGTTGATGTGGATGGGATCGGGTGAGGGAAACAAAGATGAGAGCAATGCAAGAGAAGCCAATAGTGGTTGAGTGAGGCCAAGAGCAAGCGAGGTGAAAGGGATGGCAAGTGTGGAGCCTAAAGAGAGGGATTCATAAATCAACAAAATGTTGGTTTATTTCAAATGCAAGAAAAATAAAAGTTGATATTTCAAATCCCTAAAATTTTTCAGCCCACATTTCTTTTGCTTTACACCCGACACAAAAAATCATAAAATGCATATAAGAGAAACACAAATAAAATACAATATACTTTTAACGCTTCTAATCAAATAACACCTAAAGGTTTGCAAAATACAATTCTCGCAAAAAATAATGTTAGAGTTTTATTTGAATTCCCTTCATTAAGAGGAAAAAGAAAAAGAATTGCAAAAGTAATAAATACAAACTGTTTTATTTTGGTTGCCTTCTTCTGCACCTCCAAGAAGACCCAAATATTCCAGTGCCCTCACTCCATTTTCTGCCGTAGTTACTGAAACCAATTACATGGAAGAAAAACAGTAGCTTTAAAACAAGCAGATCATTTTTTTAATCCAATTAACAATTCAATTTAAAAATAAAAAAGGTTTAGAAAATACAGAAACTGCTAAGAAGGATTATAATGTACGTGGAGAAAGAGCATTCATCTTTCAAACCCTTGATGGCTAAAACCATACGCTTCTTTATAATGCCACATTTGTATCTCCTATATGACAAACATAGTTTTCTATTTAAACTTTCTTTTATAGATTAAGAGCTTCCTAAGAATAACAGTAAAAGTACCATTATCTTCTACAAAGGTTAAGTTGATCCAAGTGCGTATCGTTTCTAAACAACTCATATAACCCTATAATTTTATTTCAGTTTGCGTTTATAATCTTCATTTGAGCATATGTTACCAGGCCTCAGATCCAACAGTATATAATTTCTCCACCATTTTGCAAGCAATAAATCATCAATGTAAAACAATAAGGAAAGGGCATAGCTCCTAATCACTGTGAACAATGAATCTGCAACAAATCCGTTCTTTCCTCCTTCGATTAGTTATTTTTCCTTAAAAATCAAAGCTAAAAGAAAAAAAAAATCCTTCATATGCTCATATGCATTCAAATTAATTGCAGAGCTTCGAAAAGAAAAATCCATACCTTTGTATTCAGAATTCTTCAACATTCTCTCTAAGAACAGCCTCTCCACGACGCTATCATCAACAGCCAAGACATGAAGCTCACCTGCGTCACCCTCTCCCTTCGGATCATATACGGGAGAGAAAGAAGAAGAATCCATGTCGAAGACGAAGAGAAGGAGCGAGAAATGGCTCTGGATCAGGGCTAAATAAATAAATAGAATAAAACTAGAATCAAAAGCGAAATGCGTGATGACAAATCCACACACCGATATTTCGTGATCTGCTCCATCAGTGCAACAAAGGAAAGAATCCTCCCAGAATCAAACCCCTCACATTCTAAAGATCTCCTGCCTCATCCGTCTTTCTCCCCGCTTTCGTGCCCCTTTTCCGCGAAGGCCTCCACAGCTGGATTTGGTGAGAAATCCCTCATAAATTAACGGTGTTAAGTACATAGCTTATTCTGCTAAATACGGACCATCACGACTAAAACTTCGCTTCGTTCTAACCTGACTAAAACCCGACTAACAATAGTTTACAAAAATATTACATCAGTGCACTTAGAAGTAACGTGCGTAGCTAATGAAATCACATCATAATATTTCGCGCGACAGGAAAAAAAACGGCACGGTAACACGAGAAATATTCCTCCTTGTGTTGCGTGTTATTCATGTGTTATTGATGTGTTATTGTGTTATTATAACACCAAAAATATTGTCAGGACACAATAACACATGAATAACACAGGGAATATTTCCGACAGAGAAAAAAACGGCGCAATAACACTGGAGAATATCTCCCCCATGTTATTCATGTGTTATTATGTGTTATTCATGTGTTATTGATGTGTTATTGTGTTATTATAACACCAGGAATATTCCTAGGACATAATAACACATGAATAACACACAATAACACATGAATAACACGGAGGAATATTCCCCGTGTTATTGCGTCGTTTTTTCTCTGTCGCGCGGGGTGTCGTGACGTGATTTCATTGGCTACGCATGTTACTCTACGTGCATAGTACTGATGTAATATTTTTTCTAGTTTACAATTTTTAGTTATGCTTTTGCTTAAAAGTGTGTTTCCCCCTTTTATATTTAGGTATCTAACACTTAAAATTTGATACTTTCATTTATTGCACTTTAGTGCTATCAAATTATACATGAAATGATATATTTTACTTTTAAATAGTTAGTAATAGTGATATTTTTTATTTGATGTTGCTCATTTGAGTGATATGCATGTAAGCATATAAGTTTAGATTTTTTATATGGAAATATATAATGATTGCTTGGTAGGTTTGTAAATGCCTCTAGAAGTTATTTGTGCCATGAAAAATTAAGTTTTATAAATATAAAAATTAAAATTTAAGTATTAGATATATAAATATATAAGAATTGTGTGCTATGTGTATAAATGTAACAAACTAAAATTACACCGGCCTAGTAAAAAATTATTTGCTTTGAGAAAAAAAATTTCAGCTTCTTACATTTTGTTGTACAAAAGGTGTCTATTTTAATGCTAATACATCTCAAAAGTACTTGGTAAGAAAATCTTTCTATTTTGTTGTTGATATAAAATGATGTCATAATTTATAATTTTCTTGCTTTCATCAAAGACAGGTTTAGAATTGCTATGGATAGAACTTAGAATAGATGAATAAAAAGATATGTGCCTAAAACTGTGGATGTTGTTATGATGTGGAGGATTTTTTTATTTTCTTGGAAGGGCACATGCGAGGGTGGATGTATTCATATCATGTTGTTATGATGTAGATATGAATTTTATTTATTTATTATTATTTTATGATTCTTCAATGTCTTTAAGGATATTGAAATAGCTTTCTATTTTTATGATTTTCCACAATAGTGTTTTTTCGTATTGTCTCTTTTAAATGTACTTTTCATTAGTTTTCTCATTATATCATAATTCATTTATATTCTTATTCAATGGTTGTTTTATAATTACATTATTGGCTGGAGCTATGAGCAATATCAATGATGTAATCTGAATTTTAATTTGCAACTTTCTACTGCTTAGTTTTTTTCTTTTTTTCTTCTCTCCCCCCTTTTTTTTTTACTAACTTGTATTATTTTTTTGTCCATCAACATTAGCAAGTCATTTTGGATTGTACGCTTAGTTCAAGCAACATATAGGAAAACTATAATGATTATGATAGCTCTACTTTTTTTTTTAACATTTGTAATTCATTTGATTTTTTTTTCTTCTTTGTTTGCTAGTTGAGCTTTAGCTCTTACCAGTCTAAAAAGTATGATATGCATTTATATTGTAAGAAGTTTTTTTTAAGTATTTTTGTGATTATGTATTTCTTTTTGTCTTTCTTATGCATGTCTATTTATAGGTCTTCATATTATAATAGTTAATTAAAGAGAGCATATGAAAAATAACATTTTTCTAAACATCGTATCACAAAAAATCATAAAGCACTAAATTGACACTCCTATTTGCTTCTACACTTAAATCTCTTATGAATACTCATTTGTAATTTCACCAGACTATATTACATGATTGCTAGTTGGCCCACCCCCCACCTGTTGTACTTGCACTCGCACTCTTACATGAAATTATCACTCTTTTGCACTTACTCATGCAAACCCCATGAATACCCATAAGCATCTACCCACTAATGCCAACTATAGCCTCATGATTTGAGTTCTTTGTTGCTTTGTACACTATCTCTTTTCTAAGGCATGATCTCTAGCTCTCTGTCATCAATGACATTTCTCTTATGGCTAATGACCAATTTCATTTTTATTGGACCTCATGACAAACTCTAACACAATGATTTACCTCTTCCAGAGTGTGATGATATTATCGTGTTTAGCAAATGGATGTTGAATAACACTTAACCATTCATCACCAACATAACCACATTTCAAAGGTTCATGGGATATTAATGTTTAGTAGGTTTAAAGTTTGTGCTCAAATTAGCATTATCTCTTCAATGGAATAATCTTTTGATTCAAGAATATTACAATACAATGTAAGTGGGAGTAATTTCTCTAATATAAATCTTTTAACGTTGATCTTACAAAAATAGAGAGAATAATTTCCATTAGTGAAATTTTGTTTTCAGGTTTTCATCATTTAATCAACTTGTCCAATCTCATCTTATAGTTGAGTCCATTGTTCCAAATTTTATTGTTACTCTTTCACAAATTTTTTCACATTAAGGAGATCTATAGTTTATCTTTGTTCCTTAATAATCATTATGCTCTTGTCATTAGTCATTGTGATTGTCATAGATAAAGTGACTACTTTATTGGAGATCATGGCCATGAAAGAAACTTTGTCCCCGCCATATTCTTATAATGTTATTGTGTTAAGTTTGAATATCCTTGTACTCCTAACATGTTTTAACATATTTTCTACCAAAATTACTCGTTGGTCACTTCATCTTGGTTTTTAATTTTTCTAATAAGAAAAGTGTTCATCTTATGCAAGTTTAGCTATCAATGATTATTTCTTATGCTACTTCTTTTGAGTTTATTGCAATTGTATTTTTTTTACATCATGTATTTCTAAACTCAAGACTGACAATTTATGGAATCATCCTCCATGGTAAGCTTCAATGTCACTCCATGATCTCTATTTCTAACTCTAACATACATGATTATTGTTTGACATGCTGTCATAGATTCTGAGGAGAACCTCGGTGACTTCCCAAACTGTCCTATTGTTTGGCTTCAGCATTGGAGAATATAACTGTTGAATATTTCATTATGCTAATTTTATTAGTTAGGGCTTATATTTATGTGAAACGATCACACAAATAGCCTCGAAGATGTGAGGATTTAGGTAGTAACGAACGACAACCTCAGAATCCTAAGACGAGTCAGGGCTTATATTGTATAGCATAACCATACAAAGGCCTAATGATAAGTTGAGGATTTATGTTGCATAAGCAAACAACCTCGAAGTCGTATGGATAGTTGTTTAATTCAAAGGAATGGTTTAGCTGGTGTAGGCATGTTTTGTTGTTGAAGATGATCGTGCTTCTCATAATGCTAGCTACAAGCTCCTTATCGTAGCGAGTTCAAGTTTTCAAGTGTGTCAAGTTATGGTGTCAAATCAAGTGTTCCCTAAAGTTATGGTTATTTTAAATATTACGAGGGATGTTAAAGTTGATTAGAGTGATACCGGTTAGAATCATACGGTTCCCTCGTTCCAACACCACTATTTTCTTTCAGATTCACTAAGTCCAAATAAATTTAATAAACTCAACTTAATGAGTTCCATACTTTCATTTAAACCATGAGAAATCTCGCTACAACCTTAGGTTACCTCCTTCGAGGGATTCCCGGTCATCCGATAGAAACGTTTTAATTTAGTTGTAATTTTGTTTTGTTTTGTTTGTAATTAAATTTTGATGAGTTGTCTTAAATTTTGACTGTTGTGGCTGTAAATTTTATCTTGTTTAATTGATTTTTAATTTTTTTAAATTTTTGTTTTGGTTGTGTTGCTATCCTAATAGTTTTGGCTTTGACGTGAAGGGTGACATTGTTATTTAACATGCAAGTTCACGAGCAGGAAACAATAGGTAGAAGTAAATTACAATGAAATAACTTAAAAGCGTACTTGTCGATTCTTCTCGTTCATCAACCTAAAAGTTCAGTACCTGTAAGGCATATATATATATATATATATATATATAATTTTGCAGGAATTAAAATATGCTGGTAGGAAAAACATAAAGTACAGGTCTGAGGTATGTCTACCAGATCCTATATCATATCTTAGTGGGTCCCATTTATTTAAGTGTATGGATGGTTTCTTAAGCAAGACATAATGAGTTTTAATCGTTCTTCAAGGTATCCAAAAGAGTATGAGAAAGGTTCAGGACCGGGGCCCGGGCATCTCACAATCTCTTGAAAACTCTTGAGCTCGTTTAAACTCATTAGTTTGCTTAATCACTCATCATTATCATACCCTTATGCTCAATGAACTGATGTTCTAACCAACCTTAAGGATGGGGTAATTATTCACTTGATGATTTATTTATAAATTATATAGGTAAAGACCCTTAGGGGCAATTTGGCCTAATTAAGAAACTTAGCACTTTGATTTTAAAGATGGGCTTGTAGTGTTTTAAAATTTTTTAAATTAGTTATAGACTATTTTTTAAACCTCATTAAATAAAATTTTGATTAGGTCTAGCTCACTACTAAACCCTTAAAAGCTTAATGGGTATATTTGTAATTTTAAAAAAAAGGATTTTAAATATTTATGTTCTTAATCATTATCATGAATCATACACCATCAATTGGGGTTTAAAATCAGTGAGTTATGATATTCCAAAATCAAACTCTTCACCTTAATATCTTTCCTATTTAAACATCTTCCAAATGTCATTAATTTTAAGAAATTACAAATTTATCATTTATAA